GAATAGGATCCTTCTATGACACTACAGATTATGGTGGAGAATGTGGCATGCCAGCTGAGACCATGTTCTATGTTCCTGCTGAGAACAGGGCCAAATTCTGATATTCAACGGATTATGGTATGTTTCACTTCTATATAGCTAACAGTGAACATGACTGGAGGGAAGGCTCTGAACAATACCATTTTATCGAGCATTGCCTAGCATGAGTAGACAGGAAGAAACAACCTTGGTTAATATTTGCAGCTCATCGTGTCCTTCGTTACTCCTCTGGGTCTTACTATGGCATGGAAGGCTCATTTGAAGAGCCAATGGGAAGAGAGAGCTTGCAGAAGCTTTGGCAAAAGTATAAGGTTGATATTGCTTTCTATGGCCATGTCCATAACTATGAAAGGACATGTTCCATATACCAGAGCCAGTGTGTAAGCACAAAAAAATCTCATTATTCAGGTGATTCGAGGACGAATCCTTTCGAGGAGGGAGGGAATAATGGAGATCGAGGTACTGGCCAAATGGCTCAAGCGAATATTCTCAAATATTCTCAAGATCCTTTGCAAGGAATCGGTGGTCTAATGACTAGGGCAAGGACAAAGAGGATGAAAGAGGCTTTACAAGGCTTAATCATGGAAATGCATGACAAAGAGGTTGTTCTAGAAGATTCTAAGACTGTTCTAGAAGTTTCCAAAGCTTCACCAAGGATAATCACCTATCTTTATGTGCAAGGCTTAGATCTTGAAGAACAAAGCTTGGAATCCATGACATAAGACCGCACATGGACATGATAAGAAAAGGCCCAATCCGCATGCTAAGATGTATTGATGGGCTTGTTTTTTGTCTTGTTTTGTTTTACTTTGACTTTTCTATGCTTAGTTGTCAATAGTTGTAGTCTTTTAGAAGAATTCCTATATCAAGGCAGATTTGTTTTCCTAAATTAAAGGGATCCTCATTAGTTAGGTGTTTTTCTTATAAGATAATGATGTTTACATGCCTATATAAAGGCTACAACTATGTAAAATGAGATATCATCAATAATATAGAGGTATTTTCAGCAAGCTTAGCTTTGTCTTCTTGTGTTGTTGGTAGAATACAATATCTTGACTTATCAAGGGAGTGACCAACCTTTGTGGCGTCTTCAAGATTGGATTCTTTAAGGACTTAGTTTCCTTAAGGTTCTAATATGATCAACTACAACTTGTTTTCTAGCTTCTGGGTGCGCATAACAAATTGATTCAAGAGTTCCTAAAGCAGGTTCTCTAGTGGGTTCTTATCACAAAAGCTCAAGTGTTCAAATTCGGCATGGCTCGAGTTTGGTAGTGGAGTTAAAATCAACCCCCCACAACATCTCACAAAACATCTTTGTCGTGTATTGGGAATATTTCTTGATGATAGTATCAAAAGCGATGAGATATCATCAGGAGATTTTCCCAATACATAGCGAGGATGAGCTATGTTGTGGGAAATTATCTTGTGGGGGGTCTGATTTCAACTGTTGGTAATGAACCAATCTTCATATAAAAATTTAAAAAATATATATCAAAATGAGTTTTATTATACGTATAAAAATTAAAAATAGTAAAATACTACATATAAACTCGATTAGGCTCACAAACTTCATGAGCCAAGCTTCGAAACTATTTGAATTCGACTTAATTAGCAATCTAACCTATTTATTGGGTTCAAGCTCAGCTTGAAACTTGATTTAGACTAAGTTGAATCATGTGCAAACCAAATTCAATTGGCTCGCGAATAACTTAATTTATTCTCACCCTTAAGAGAGAGAGAGAGAGATGATATAGGAGAAGATGGTGATGCTTTCAGGTTATGTTTATTTTGGCTGTCTTTTGGCATTGTTGTTGTATTATTCTTTGTATCTTACTGAAAATGTAATAAATATTGAAGTGAATTTTGGGTAGGGAAGTGGGAGAATTGGGCCACTAGTTTACAAGGAAGCACCACAGAGCAAAAATCAGCGCCCTAATTTCTTTAAAAAAGAATTGATATTATTTAGGGGTGTAAATTGGGCAGGTTGGGCCGGGTTTATGGCCAACCCGAGCCTGGCACTAAAATTTGGGCTTAAGGCCCGAGTGTGGACCGAGCTCGAGGTCAAGCTGACCTTCCCAAGCCAAGCCCAACCTGCATAGTAATTTGATGCACTCGGGTTGGGCTTGGGCCCAGGCCGGGCTCGGGTTGGTCAATGAACCCATTCTAAACATATATATTGCAAGGCAGTCCACGTCACCATGTCTCTCCTTGCTTCAAACCACTTTCTTAATTTCCTGTTCTTTCGAATTTTTTATTTTTTAATTCCATATAATTACCCATTAAACCAATAATGAAATAACATATGCTTAATTATTTCCAACAAGCGTAAAGAAAAAGGGATTTGCTTTTCTAATGTTTAGCCAAGTGGCACCACTTTTCCCCACTTTCTCCTAAATTGTCTCTAATCCCTATTTATCTCCTAAATTATCTTTAACTCCTATTTATCTCTTAAATTATCTCTAATTTAGTAGAGAGATTACCTCCTAAACTATCTCTAATTCCTATTTAACCTCTCCCCCACTTTTTATCTACATCTATCTAAAGAAATTTTCAAAATTATTTAAATATTATAATAAAATTATATACTAACTTTAAAATATTTATCCAAAATACAAAAATTAATTATAATAGATTTAATAATATTCATATTATTAATAATTCTATATTTTTACATTCATCATGAAATTATATAGTAACAATATAAATTATAATTTTATGAATTATTCAATTTAAATGTTATTCAAATAGTAAAAATTTAACATTAAAAATAAAATATTACTTAAATATTTCAATAACTAAACATCTTAAATAAAAAATATTAAAAATACCTAAATAATTATATAACAAAATATTTAATATTACATAATAACACTATAATAAATAAAATTCAAATAATAAAAATTTTAAATATTTTACATATTATTTAAATATTTAAATAAATAAATATTAAACATGACTAAATTTTAAATAGTTAAAAGTAGAAAAACAATTATAAAAGATTTCAGAATATTCATATTAATAATAATTTAATTTTTTACAAAATTAATAATGAATTATGTAATAATAGTACTAATTATAATTTTATAGATTATTAAATTCAACAAATAATTAATATTTTAAAATTTTAAATAAAATATTATTTAAATAACCAAATAATATTGTAAATAACTAATTTCACTTATTTCAATTAATAATTATATAAAATAAATTCCAAAAAATAATATTTATTAGTAATAATTGTACAATAATATTTTATATTCATTATATATTTATATATACTAAAACTAATATTCATTTTATTTTCAGTAATTATTTATTGTATTTTTTGATAAATATAGTTTYGATAATTATTTATAAATCTATTTTTGTTTTGTTATTTAATAGTAAATTGTCAATAGTTACAATAATTATTGGAGATTAAAATTTAACTTTTGAAATTTATTTATTGTATTTTCGTTATAAATTTATTTTTAGTAATTATGTATTTTTTATAATTTATTGATTAATATTTATTAGAGATTAAACTATTTATTGACTAATTTAATATATTTTCAATATTTATTGTATTTTTATTAGATATCTATTGTATTTCCATTATACATTTATTTTCAATAATTGTGTATTTTTGCTATAAATTTTCAATAATTATTGGAGATTAAACTATTCTTATTTATTAGAGATTATATTATTAATTTAGTTTAAATTAGGAGTGTTCAATGATTGGTTTAGTTCGATGGCAAGCTGTTTTGCCAACCAAATCGACCTGGTTGACCATTAGTAAAAACCTGCCAACTCGGGTTTTATCAGTTTGGGCCTATTTTCGGTTTGGTTTGTTTGTTCAAAAGATTTAAACTTAAAAGTTAAATTTAAATTTAATAAATTATAGTGGTATTATTAAAAAATAAGTTAAAGAATTAAATTTATGATATAAAATATTTTAGATCAATAAATATGATAATTTTTCCACTTTCTCATATTAAAAAATTATATTTAAAATATAAAATATTAATATATATCTATGGTCAGGTTGGTTCTGTTTTGATCAATTTACAAATGGCCAAATCGAAACTGACCTAACTTGGTCAAGTTGGAAAATTGATAAACGAAAGCCGACCAAAAATACTAGAAGACCGACCAACTCAAGTCGAGTTCGACCGAATTGGTTATTAAAAAGTTAAAATATAAAACAATTATATACTATGTATTTCTGTTGTACAACTTTCACTTAACAAAGCCCGTGCATCACACGGGTCCCCACTAGTGTGTGTATATATATATATATATATATATATATATATATATATATATATATATATATATATATATATATATATATATATATATATCAGTTTGATTAACTGCTGATTTTTTATATTGATTAACCGAAACCAAACCAATACCTTCAATTTTTAAAAATACCAAACCAACCGGTTTGATTAACCAATTTTTCAGTTCGGCTTCGGTCAGTTTTTTTGGCCGATTCAGTTTTTAGGTTTTTTTCTCACCTCTACAACCAATGTAAAATTTCAAGCTAGCTGATTCAGGATCAAGCCTCCCAAGTTGCACCCCTAATATTATTATTTATAAATGTACATGACTGGGGGTGTTTGACAACACGCTTGGATGGTTGACAACATGACTACGAGTTGCACTTCCAGCCATGCCCGCAAAATTAATATAATTTTGAATCTTTGTTGAACACCCCCTTAGTAGATAAAACTAGACTATAATTGGGCATATGATAACATCGTATAAGTTTTTAATTTGTACATTACTTGCTATAAATGGATGTGAAGCTACATTTTGGTTTATTTTAAAAATATCAGCATTTTTGCAGCTCTCCTCGGAAGTCGAAAATTCAATTAAGGACATACGGAAACTCAATTCAATTCCACCCCCACCTAATAAATGTAAAATTTATTTTGGCTCCCCCCCCCCTCACGTTAGATAAGTGAAACTTTTGATCCCATTATACCCCTTATATCCCAACGGTAATCTTCTTCATTCGAACCGAACACAGCAGCGGCCATCTTCCAACGGTAATCTTCTTCTTCATTCGAACCGAACACACCAGCGGCATCCCCGTCGTCTTCTTGCTCACCCCCTTCTTCCTCATTCGAACCAAACGCAATAGCGTCACCCCATTCCTCATTATAACCGAATGCAACTTCGGCGTCTCCGTCGTCTTCGCTCAGCTCATCCCAAGCGAAACATCTTCTTCCTGGAAGAACCGATCCAACAGTGTCTTCTTCTTCCTCGAAGTTACCGTTCTTCCTCATTTGAAACGAACGCAGCAGTTTCACCCTTTTCTTTGTTTCTCAGAGCCGAAAGGTACAATATCTTTCCATCCTCTTCTTCCCCATTTCGAAACTACAACACTTACCCTCTTCTCCATTTCTCATTGTCGTTAATCTCCGTTTCTCAGAGTTGTTAATCATCGGAGGTTCATCTCTCATTGCCGGAGCTACAGTGTTTTCCCCATTTTTCATATCCGTTAATCACCGGAGCTTCGGATCTTCATCTCTCATCACCGGAGGTACAACGTGTTTTTCGGTGCTTTGAGTGCGGTAAGCATCTAGCTGTGTCTGCATTCTGCACAATTCATTTATTTTGGTTTTGATGATTTC